CACACACACACACGCTCCTTGTTAGTAGAGTGAGGACGATGTCAGTATCTCAGCCTTGCCCTGCAGGTACTACACAGGAACAGGGTGGCGGGGGTGTCTGGGGGGGCGGGCTACACATATGAGTTAACGTGTGGCTGCTGACGGCCCCACCTGCCCACCACCGGAGCCCTCTCCCATAATTACCCGAGGCAGGCGGCTGCCGGGAGCTGCGGCTCGAGTCTGCCCGACCGCCTGCGCAGACGTCCTGAGGACTGCTGCGTTATGTAATGTGGTTTTGTGTGTTCCTGTCATGGCGCTCGGGTGTCTCTGATTTTCACTGTGTGTGTTTTTTTCTTTGCTTTCCCACAAGTCCGATTGTGTGCACGTCAAATAATTTGGCGAGTGTCGGCCTGACAACAGCGGCTGCTGCTTAGTGGGTCTCCTCAGCCGCGGGACCGACTGACTGACAGCTGAGAGGACGATTGGATCCCATCCTTTGCCGTGCTCCCCCTCTCTGCCTCTCCCCCTGCGTCTGTCTCATCGCTTCCTTCTCGCTCGTTTGCGGCTGAGAGATGCGTATCGCCGCTGTCGGTCACGGCCCGTGGCCCCCCTCCGCTGACATGGACACAGGTGGGAAGCGACTAACGCGAGGCCGGCGACGACACATTTCGAGCTCGATCGGTCAGAAAGTTGCAGCACAGGAAAATGTCAGATGTGTGTGTGTGTCTGCTTTAATAAATCTCACACTAAACATCTCACCCATAAACAGGAATTAATCTCTGTGATTTGCCGTGAAGTGAAGATAAATAATGTTTGCATATTTCATGAGAATTCTTAATTTTAATGACAACAACACTTTGAATTAATTGGATAATTAATCAGCAATGTGAGGCTGAAACCTATACGATTTTATTTTCTAAAGCTAAACGAACATGAAAGAAATTACTGACAGTCCACCGAGGCCTGACACACACAGGAATTCCTCCGACAGGCCGACCTGCAGAGCGAGGCCTTTTCTCAGAGTCTTCCCAAATATTTCACGCAGAAAGAATGACAACATGTGGAGCCGCACGGCCAAACACACTCGTCCGTGTGATGTTTGCAGGGAC